TTTTAAAGGGAGTTGAGCCATCTACTTTTAAGTCAGGGTAACCCCACAAACCAGATCCAACCAGTCCAAAAACTCGCCTCACTGAGTAGTTGGCACACGCTTGGTAGACGGCCGCGTACTTTTGTTGCTTTTTTGCTCATTGGGGTGGGGTGGGGTGGGGTGGGGTGAGGTAATAACGTTCACTTGCACTTCCTCACATATATGATGCTACGTTATTGTGTGGGGTGGGGTGGGGTGGGGTAATAACATTCATTTGCATTTCCTCACATACATGATGCTACGCTACTGTATGTCGTCTTGCACTTCCTCACATACATGATGCTACGCTACTGTATGTCGTCTTGCACTTCCTCACATATATGATGCTACGCTACTGTATGTCGTCTTGCACTTCCTCACATATATGATGCTACGCTACTGTATGTCGTCTTGCACTTCCTCACATATATGATGCTACGCTACTGTATGTCGTCTTGCACTTCCTCACATATATGATGCTACGTTACTGTTTGTCGTCTTGCACTTCCTCACACATATGATGCTACGGTACTGTATGTAGTCTTGCACCTCCTCACATATATGATGCCACGCTACTGTATGTCGTCTTGCACTTCCTCACATACATGATGCTACGCTACTGTATGTCGTCTTGCACTTCCTCACATATATGATGCTACGCTACTGTATGTCGTCTTGCACTTCCTCACATACATCATGCTACGCTACTGTATGTCGTCTTGCACTTCCTCACATATATGATGCTACGTTATTGTTTGTCGTCTTGCACTTCCTCACACATATGATGCTACGGTACTGTATGTAGTCTTGCACCTCCTCACATATATGATGCCACGCTACTGTATGTCGTCTTGCACTTCCTCACATACATGATGCTACGCTACTGTATGTCGTCTTGCACTTCCTCACATACATGATGCTACGCTACTGTATGTCGTCTTGCATTTCCTCACATACATGATGCTACGCTACTGTATGTCGTCTTGCACTTCCTCGCATATATGATGCTACGCTTCTTCATGTCGTCTTGGACATACCCTGATGTCAGAAGACGTCAAAGCGATGGTGAACCAATGGGTCTTTAGACAAAGTCTAGGGCCTATCACCCCCATTGCCGTCTTAGAAGAGCTGAAACAACTTTTGAAACAATGAGGAAAATTAAAGGACCGGATAACCCCACATGTTACCAACTTCTTTAGACTTAGACTGACCATAGAAGAGCAAGAAGGGAAGAGGAAGTATAAGAGTGATGGAGCGGTGATGGTGGGTGAGTTTGTGTGTATGTATGTATGTATGTTCATGTACAGTGAGTGAGTGAGAGTGTGAGTGAGTGATGTGAGTGTGGTGTGTGTGAGTGAGGGATGTGAGAGTGAGTGAAGTGAGTGAAGTGAAGTGAAGTGAAGTGAAGTGAAGTGAAGTGAAGTGAAGTGAGTGAGTGGGTGGTGCGGTGGGTGGGGTGGGTGAGGTAGGTGGTGAGGTAGGTGAGGTAGGTGAGGTAGGTGAGGTAGGTGAGGTAGGTGAGGTAGGTGAGGTAGGTGAGGTAGGTGAAGTAGGTACATCTGACCCCCTTGGCAGTGCACCTTGTCCCACGCCTGCCACGCAAAAGCGGCGGAGCCCCAAGGGACGCCAGGGCGTACATCTGACCCCTTGGCAGTGCACGTTGATGTACGCCTGCCACGCAAAAGCGGTGGAGCCCCAAGGGACGCCAGAGCGTACATCTGACCCCTTGGCAGTGCACATTGTCCCACGCCTGCCACGCAAAAGAGGCGGAGCCCCAAGGGACGCCAGGGCGTACATCTGACCCCTTGGCAGTGCACCTTGTCCCACGCCTGCCACGCAAAAGCGGCGGAGCCCCAAGGGACGCCAGGGCGTACATCTGACCCCTTGGCAGTGCACATTGTCCCACGCCTGCCACGCAAAAGAGGCGGAGCCCCACGGGACGCCAGGGCGTACATCAGACCCCTTGGCAGTGCACATTGTCCCACGCCTGCCACGCAAAAGAGGCGGAGCCCCAAGGGACGCCAGGGCGTACATCCGACCCCTTGGCAGTGCACATTGTCCCACGCCTGCCACGCAAAAGAAGCGGAGCCCCAAGGGACGCCAGGGCGTACATCAGACCCCTTGGCAGATCACATTGTCCCACACCTGCCACGCAAAAGAGGCGGAGCCCCAAGGGACGCCAGGGCGTACATTCAACCCCTTGGCAGTGCACATTGTCCCACGCCTGCCACGCAAAAGAGGCGGAGCCCCAAGGGACGCCAGGGCGTACATCAGACCCCTTGGCAGTGCACCTTGTCCCACGCCTGCCACGCAAAAGCGGCGGAGCCTCAAGGGACGCCAGGGCGTACATCCAACCCCTTGGCAGTGCACGTTGATGTACGCCTGCCACGCAAAAGCGGCGGAGCCCCAAGGGACGCCAGGGCGTACATCTGACCCCTTGGCAGTGCACATTGTCCCACGCCTGCCACGCAAAAGAGGCGGAGCCCCAAGGGACGCCAGGGCGTACATCCGACCCCTTGGCAGTGCACATTGTCCCACGCCTGCCACGCAAAAGAGGCGGAGCCCAAGGGACGCCAGGGCGTACATCCGACCCCTTGGCAATGCACATTGTCCCACGCCTGCCACGCAAAAGCGGCGGAGCCCAAGGGACGCCAGGGCGTACATCCGACCCCTTGGCAGTGCACATTGTCCCACGCCTGCCACGCAAAAGCGGCGGAGCCCCAAGGGACGCCAGGGCGTACATCCGACCCCTTGGCAGTGCACATTGTCCCACGCCTGCCACGCAAAAGAGGCGGAGCCCCAAGGGACGCCAGGGCGTACATCTGACCCCTTGGCACTGCACATTGTCCCACGCCTGCCACGCAAAAGAGGCGGAGCCCCAAGGGACGCCAGGGCGTACATCTGACCCCTTGGCAGTGCACCTTGTCCCACGCCTGCCACGCAAAAGAGGCGGAGCCCCAAGGGACGCCAGGGCGTACATCAGACCCCTTGGCAGTGCACATTGTCCCATGCCTGCCACGCAAAAGACGCATGAGTGAGTGAGTGAGTGCGTGAGTGAGTGTGTGAGTGAGTGAGTGAGTGAGTGAGTGAGTGAGTGAGTGAGTGAGTGAGTGAGAGTGAGTGAGTGAGTGAGAGTGAGTGAGTGAGAGTGAGTGAGTGAGTGAGTGAGTGAGAGTGAGTGAGTGAGTGTGAGTGAGTGAGTGAGTGAGTGTGAGTGAGTGAGTGAGTCGGAGGAGGTGAGTGAGTGAGTGAGTGAGTGAGTGTGAGTGAGTGAGTGAGGAGTGAGTGAGTGTGAGTGAGTGTGACGTGAGTGTGAGTGAGTGTGAGTGAGTGTGGTGAGTGAGTGAGGTGAGTGATGTGGTGTGAGTTGAGTGAGTTGTGAGTGTGAGGTGAGTGAGTGAGTGGAGGAGTGAGGGATGTGATGTGAGTGAGGGATGAAAGTGAGTGAGTGAAGTGAGTGACGTGAGTGGAGTGACGTGACGGTGAGGAAGTGAGTGAGTGTGAGTTGAGGAGTGAGTGAGTGAGTGAGTGAGTGAGTTGAGAGTGAGTGAGTGAGTTGACAGTGAGTGAGTGAGTGAGTGGGTGGGTGGGTGAGTGAGTGAGTGAGTGAGTGGAGTGAGTGGAGTGAGTGGAGTGAGTGGAGTGAGTGGAGTGAGTGGAGTGAGTGGAGTGAGTGGAGTGAGTGGAGTGAGTGGAGTGAGTGGAGTGAGTGGAGTGAGTGGAGTGAGTGGAGTGAGTGGAGTGAGTGAGTGAGTGAAGTGAGTGAGTGAGTGAGTGAGTGAGTGAGTGGAGTGAGTGGAGTGAGTGGAGTGAGTGGAGTGAGTGGAGTGAGTGGAGTGAGTGGAGTGAGTGGAGTGAGTGGAGTGAGTGAAGTGAGTGAAGTGAGTGAGTGAGTGAGTGAGTGAGTGAGTGAGTGAGTGAGTGAGTGAGTGAGTGAGTGAGTGAGTGAGTGAGTGAGTGAGTGAGTGAGTGAGTGAGTGAGTGAGTGAGTGAGTGAGTGAGTGAGTGAGTGAGTGAGAGTGAGTGTGTGTGAGTGAGTGTGTGTGAGTGAGTGAGTGTGAGTGAGTGAGAGTGAGTGAGTGTGAGTGTGAGTGTGAGTGTGAGTGTGAGTGTGAGTGTGAGTGTGAGTGAGGAGGAGGACGGGCGGGCGGCGGGCGGACGGAGGCGGCGGATACAGAACTAAAAACAAAAACCCCACACGTCAATGTGGGGAAAAAGGCTATGAAGTGCTGCTTCGCAGTAGTTTGGAACAATGCAAAATGAGGAACGTCAAAAAACATTGAGTTTTTTGCTGAAAATCCCATTTCGTGCCACGGCCGTCTATCAAGCGTGTACCCAGTTCACTAGCCCACAACAACCAGCATAAACCAGCCCAAAAACCCTTCATGTTTTGATCCTCCAATCATGGGATGGATCGAAACCCGATACCACCTGTTTTCATGGTAAAAAAACAGCCTTTCTGGCCAAGACATTTTTCCCCGAAAAAACTATCCATTGATCCCACTCAAAACAGATAGGTTAACACGCGAAGCATCGCTATTTGAGGTCCGGATTTTACCCACTTACCATCTTTTGGGGGATTGCAAAAAAACATAGTATCCCATTATACCCCATCGGCATCTATAGATATCCCATTATCTAGCTATCCAGTGTATATCAACATTTTTTATTACTAACATTGGCAATTAACTAGAATAGTTAACACTGTACTAACTGTAGTTAATAATTATCATTAATTACAAGTATTTATCACAAACTGTAGTTAACACTGTACTAACTGTAGTTAAGAATAATTACTTAATAATATAATAGTATATAATAGTTATATATAGTTATCCCATTAGTAATGATTGCCAATTAATAATTATAATAGTTAAGAATTAGTTATCCCATTTCCAATTTCCAATTTCCATGGCGGTGAAGAGTCACGCTCTTGCTGCCTCTTGCAGAAGCTCTCGAATTAGCAAAATCAAAACACATGATCAACGCCCCTGATAGTCAGGCAAGTGCGTGCTGTTGGAAAAGATAGTTGTACATTCAAGCAGCGCATCTTGCAACCAGGTGGTTGTAGGAAGATCATGGATAGACAAAAGACTAAACTGGCCTGTGCCGTGTCGCCATTCTGTACACAACTGATCGATGACAGCTTTGGCCAATCCTTGGGAGAACCTCTTCGGGTATTCCTTGCAGACAGCAGTTTTAAAATGTCCATCTCTATCTTTCCCAATGGCCACGTCCTTGGGAAGAAGAGCCTCTGCGTCCACACAAGCATACATCGATGCCGCCAATCTTGGTAACCGCAGGCTCATAAGGCCGGTGGGTTTCTTGACTGGTGCACCCCACTGCCATTGATTGAATACACGAAGATGAATATCTGGGTGTTGAAGAAGGAGTTGTATAATGGCACTGGTCCAAATCGACGCTTTGCTGACATCACTGGGTGGTGCCGGATGTTCACTAAGGAACAATCCCCCACGTGTCAAATGCCAAATGCATGCCATGACAGCCTGCAACATGAAGGCCGTACCTTGTCTACACTGCCGGAGCTCCTTGGGCCTTAGCCCTGGCAAACCAAAAAGTTGAGCAAAAGAGCGAAGGGGTCTAGGCCATTTGCTTCGAACTTCAGCAGGAAGATCATCAGGTGGCGGCACATGGCGAGCAGCTGAAAAGGTTTCACAAGGGCTGCCACAAATAGTGGCAGCCACAAGGCCATTCCCATACAAGTATTCAAGGCGTTGCCAAGAGACTGAGTTGGCTGTTAGATCACCGTAATGTGCCGAAACCGCTGTGTCCATCGAGAGAACAGCTACATCAAGGCCTCTAACTTGCGCCATCTGTGCCAGGTACCAATGAACATCCGACTCACGTCTGCGGCCACTGAATAAATGGACAATAAGGAAAACAGGGCGAGTGAAAAGGTTCTGAATAGCAGGTGTGGCAACCTCTGAGGGTACACCAGTCCATTTCATTTTACGTACCTCATCATGCCACTCCATCTGTGACTGGTAATGGGTGTGAATTGCATCAGGGTCCCCTCGGGTATGCCTATTATTACACATCTGTTCAGGCTTACGGACTGGTCGATGTGCAACATCTTGTGTGAGGTCGGCTTGCGCTTGACTAACACATCTGGAAAGAAAAGCAATACGATCCCGCCACTGGCTTCTAGGCATATCTCGAGAAATCACATAAAAAGCTTCATCTGCAAACTTCTCTGCTTCACCATCAACAAAATCAGCCACAACATCTGGAAGGTCTTGCTGTCCCCAGGTAAGCAGACCATCGGAGTACCAATCATCAAATTCAACTGGCCATTGGATAAGATAGTCAAACCAAAAATCTTGTAATGGTCCAACAGTTGTCAAATCAAAAGATGCTTCACAAAAGAGTTGAAACCACTGTTGCGTGGCAGCGGTCAATCCCTGTCGGAGAGCAATCTCGGCCTCATGTTCATTCGGGGGCTTTTGGATATCGCTCAGCTGTTTTTCCAGGTGGGCAATTTCACGGTTCCATGCATGCATCTGAGTCTCTAAAGCAGGCACAAAATAAGTGAATGGTCCAGCACTGCGAACGGCCTCAATACGATTGGCTCCTCGAAGCCGCTGAGGTACCGAGACATTTTCATAAACAGTTGTAAACCCACTCTTACGCAAAACCTGGTAACAAGCGTTACGTCCTGTCTTTCGTGAGATGTAAGATAAATGCTGCTGCAATCGCTGGGTTGTCCAAAAATGGACGAGGCATACTGGGCATGTGGCACCAGCCAGAAGGTCATGCTCATAAGAGAAGATACCATGCACCTTCCTCCGATGAGTGGATAATCCCTGCGCTGTGTCGAAATGGCGCCCACACTGGCAAGGGAAGGACCCCTCGCCTAGCACACGTCCAAAGTAGGGAGGTTCAAAAGCAGCCTCATGCTTATCCAATTCTCTGAAAAACCGTCTATGCCAGTAAAAGACATCCTGCATCATACTTTCTTGAAGCAGGTGCTGACGACCAGCTCTCCGGATGGTGGCTTGCCAACCCGGTGCACCTTTTTGCCAGAAGTCAATGGCATCGGTGAGGGATGTCGTCCATTCCTCCGGGATCGAGTCCGGCAGGGTACTCTTGAGCCAAGCCAAATCGGCAAAGAGCCCACTGATCCATGAACTCGGGAGGGTTTGAAACTCAATATGCAATAAATGCTGCGCAAAGGCAGGACCATGTTGGAAAATCTTGTGTGCAAAAAGGAGCCGATCCTGAGCCAGCCGAATGCGTGGCTCAAGGAATTTTGCATCAGTGAAGATCTGACCATCCGTGGGTCGCTTCTCTGGAGGCTTCTTTCCCGCACACAGGATACAATACAAATAGTGTGCTAAAACCTTGCGCATTTGATGCAACTGGGACATCGTAGGTGTCATCCAAGCTCCAAGGCCAAAATAGAGCCGAGTACACACAAGCGCCTGGAATAATTGGAGACGTGTATGGACTGGCAAATGGCGATTGCAAAACACCTGACGCCTCATAGCACTAAAGGCAGAAGCAGCTTGTCCAATTCTGAATTTCACTTCCTCGGTAAAGTCCAGCTTGCTGGCAAACTGTGTGCCCAGGTGCCGGTATGTGGCCGAAACATGCAACCACTTGGTTTCGCCCTTGTCAAGGGTGCACCAAAAGCCGCTTGGTTCGCTCAAAAGATACGCTTTACGCAGCTCTGGGGCTCCTGCCCCTTGGAACGTAAGCACTGCCCCAGTTTTGCCTCGATCCATGTTGAGATCAAAACCTCTGCGTTTGAAGGTCCGATCAACGACGGACATGAGGACTTGCATTGCGGGCACAAGCTCTGTCGCCTGCTGTGTGCACCACGGGATAGCAAGATCATCGCTCCACACAAGGGAATCAATTCGGGCATCAATTTGGTTCAAAACGTGCTGGTATGGCTGTTGTGCTTCGATCCATGTGTTGATCTCAATGACAATATCCATCATCAGAACATGAAATACTACATCAGCTAATGGGCTGCCAGGACGTGTGCCTCGTCGGGTTCGAGTGATACCAGGGACCCCCGCCAAAGTGTGCCATGTATTCGTATGGACCTCCCTCATGAGCTGGACAAGGATAGGGGAGGCACCCAATCGCTCAAGCAAGCCAGGGACAGCCAGCCAAGCACGCAGGCCAGCATTGGTACCTTGGTCTTTTTCAATAAGATCGAGGACCGCCTGGGCATCACAGTTTGATCCACTACCACAGACCAATTCTCGGACAAGTCTGTGAAAGGCATTAGCCAGGTCCACAAATAACACACCTGTGCTGAGCCCATGGTGGTGTGCCACTCTGCAAAAAGTTCGCAGAGCTTGTGATGCAAAGCCAACTTGCTGATTCTTAAATCCTCCAATCTGTCCTTGAGGTTTGATACGCTCCACAAGTCGGACTGTGGAAGAACGCAGCAAGGCATGGATACGCTTAGCAACCGAGGGAAGCAACATGATACCACGGAAATGGTGCACTTGGGACGCTCCAAGACGCTTGGGTATAACAGCCATCACACCACCCTTATATGCTAATGGTTCCGCCTGCCACATGTAGATCTTGAGGATGAGGTCGAAAAACAACCTCGCGGTCTCAACTGGGAAGGAATGAAAGAGTCCAGAAGCAATAGGGTCAAAGCCAGTGGACTTACCTCCTTGTGTACCTCGGAAGGTATCCTCAAGCAATTGGAGTGACGGAATCTCATGAATGTGGCAGAGCTCCTGCAGACTGCCAGAAGCCATTTGGAAATCATGACATGCATCAATCAGACTTGCAACCTCGACTTGACTGCCTGCTTCTAACTGTCGGAAGTAGGGGTGCCATTCATCTTCCAATGCTTCCATTTGCTCGGGAGGAGCATTCATCCTTCTCTGTTGAAATTTCGGAAATGATCGGCGAATTGTCCGCCAGAGGTCTTTGGCCTGCCTTGGTTGAACAAAAGCACCAGCTTCTCGAGCAAGCGTCTGAAAAAATGCCACATCATCACAACGTAATGCTTTCACGACTTGTCGACCAAGTTGTCGGAACTGCATCAGTGCCTGGGCAATGAGTACATCCTGTTGTGACACAATATGCTGCACAGCCTGATGGTCGTAAATTGTGTCATGATTTTTGAGGCTTTGGAAACACAAATGGAGTATGGTTTTGTGTTGCAGAATATTTGCTTCACGTAAATGATTCCTCCATATGCGTTTTGTCTTCACCAGCTGCCACGTAGCACTCGACATACCCTCTTTACGCGGCTTTGGTTGACTAATAGTCGGACGACTGCCAAATTGCCTCAGCAATTGCTCCTGCAAAAGTTTGGAATGAGTGTGCACATCCACAGTGAAACCTGGTCGCTGAACATTGTGAAAGGCCATAGGAGAGATACATTGAACATGCTCATCTGTGAGACGAGAGGCACGACGACGACTTGGGCACTGATGTTCGCAACATTGGCCTTCAATTTGAACAATCACTGCCCTGTGGTCTTCCTTGATCGTTGAGACATCAATGTCTTCACTGACAAAAGCCTTACAGTTGGTGAAGGTCCAATGTACTGGAAGACCAATGTAATCACCCCGGAGCCAGTGCCCATGCGGGTGCAGCCAAGTGCCGCCAGGCCCTTGCTGAAATTGCTCAAAGGTACTTGGCAACCAGAGACCCTGATCACACAGGAAGGTGCGAAAGAATTCAGACTTAGATGTTTCAATTTCAGCCTGGTGGTCACCAATTTGATTGGTGACAACACTCCCCACTCGGGCATTGGCGTCACACAGTAGCAGTCTTGGCCAATCATTATATTTGGCTGGAATAAGGACCCCAACATGTCGCCACCAATCCTGGACATCAGCCTCTGCATGCCCGGTATGCAGCGCATGAACTGCAATAAGGACACAACGCAAAACTGGGGTACGCAAACGGACAATAAGAATCCGCGGCTCAGCTGCAATGATTGCTACATGCGCCTCCTGGAAGAAGACTGGACGTTGCTGATTGGTGAGCGGGTCAAATTGCCAGCCATGCGGAATCTTTTTACTCAACCCAATCAAAATTCCATAACAACCACTACTACTAGCCGCGCTTTTCACAAGAACATATCTTGGATCATTGGCTCGGTACAACTTCCGCAATCGCGTCTCTTGCAGTGCCAAAATATTGACTTGAAGTTCATGGAATTGCTCAAGCACAGAATCTTGTCTAGCAACACCATCAAGGCCCAACTGCTTACTTTCGGCTCCTTTCAATGTTAAAACATTACAGGAGCTCATTTTAAGACAGTAGGAGGCCTGTTCAGTTCCTATGTCAGTGACCACAGGGGCCTGTGCTTCTTCAGGGAAAACTGTACAATCTGGTTTTGTCTCAGGATGCTTTGGGATGCGGATGCAATGATCGACCCATAAATGCCGGTAACTGGGTTCAAAAAGCATCCAGGTCCATTCCATGGCATGCACAAAGGAACTCTCCAAAACAGTGCAAACAAATGGTGTAATGTCATGCGTTCCCCCATCATTGGCAGCAGCAAAAGCCAGTGCATCTACCAGTTCGTTACCTGGTTCACCTCGGTGACTGTGGATGTGCCATGGTGACGGGGTGACTCCAAATCTTCCTTGCAATAATCGATGGAGACTACGCATAACACTTGTGACCAACGGTGTTCGGAAACTGTTCCAAGCTCCCGTCATCTGCTGGCCCACAGTGAGTGAGTCGTATCCAAACACAAGGGAGCACAATTCAACCTGTCCCAAAAACACCTGTTTCAAAAGGTCAAGGGCAAATTTTGATGCAATCAATCCAGCGAAACTCTCTGGCGTATAGGAGTCAGATGCTGCAAGACGACCAGAGATCATTCCCGCCTGATACCATGTACATCCCGATTGAATGAAAGCAGCCACTGCAAATCCCGCATTCTGGTCTTGCGGTAGAAATGCTCCGTCGAAATAGATGACCATGGAGTCACAACGGCAGCCAATGTTCCAGATGGGTAGATCAACCCACTCCCGGCTTGCAGGCAAAAGGTTCACTCCATCGGGTACCATATAGGAAGGCAAAAATAAGTGTGAATCCATCCACTCAAAAGCTCTAATAGCAGGGTGAAGATTCAGTTGAACATAATCAGATGCCTCTGAGTTCACTTGGTGTCCATCAACGGTCGGAGGGCTTGCTGATCGCAGGACTCTTGCCTTCACTTGTAGAAGTCCTAGTCCTTCCTCACCAATGGGTACCGGTTCAATGGGAGGTCGCCAATTGGCAGGCAAGACAATACGGTTAACATGCAACACTAAGCAATGAGCTGTATTGAGTCGAACATATGTCCCAGCAGGAATGTGAACATGATCGATCCAAAGGTTGCAGGTGGTACCAACCGTTTGGCAGTCTCTGGTGTAGTCAATGGAGCTCAAAAGGTCATTCAAATTGACTCTCTCACTAACCGTTTGAACAACTCGAAAAGGGAATCCAAAGTTCACCGCAGAATCATAGATGGTAATCAGAGGCGAAGACCAAGTAGGTACTTCATGCTGAACAATTATGACATGGGCACTGATGGAAGGTTCCAAATGGGGTGGTGTGGGTTGTACAACCAAGAACGAAGTGGGTAGAGTTGGATCCAACATCGGAATCCATTTCTCTTTGATCTTTCGTTCCCATTGGAGGAAATCCTCAAACAGTGTAACACGTTTGCTGTATTGGCATCTCATCACTCCAATACCCGGTGCAACAAACCACGTGAGAATATGAAGCGCTCTTGATTCCTCTTCCCACGCAAAGGCATGATTTTCCCAACAAGCAAAAAGATCCTGCAGATGCTCCGGTTGTGTTGCAATATGTGGTCGACTGGGTTGAAAAACTGGCGCATCAGGATTCAGACTGTGGACAGAGGATTGCATGAGCGCCAGGTCTTCAAAGTGTTGGTGTACCTCTTGGTCAATGGCCAGGTCATCATCATCCCGAGCAGGCGGAGTGACTCGGATATAAATACTATTGCCAGAGGAAGCTTCATTCCAATCAACCGCTGCGACAGGCTGCCTGTTCAAGAATAAGGTACATTGTCTCCCTGTGCAAAAATGCACGAGATCCATAGTCCGAATCAGTGTAGCAGCATTAAACCGTCTGTCAAAAGAGTAAGCGCCTTGAATGATGCCGTCACCAGTGTGCCCCTCCAGCAGGGCAGTCAGAAGGACGGCCACTTTGTTGGCTTGTGGAGCTTGTTCGAGAATGATATGACAAGCAAATCGGTGCACACGAAACTGGGGTGGTTGTGGCTTGACAACAAAAATCGCAAAGGGGATGCGATGGTCCATGCTATCCTGCCATATTGCCCGCAAATCATCAATCCAGGTAATTGGATTACCAGATAACCGCACAATTCTAGGTTGATGGCAAACAGGTCTTCTGGTATGATGAACGAACCATGTTGCGACAGAGAAGGTATACTCATCATCCCACACATTGTGTTCACCAGCAACTTGCGCAGTGTGCCCTAAATCCAAACTCCACTCAATCGCTCCATCATGGTAAGGCCTTGCCGGTCTCTGTACGCGGTCACTAATAACAGCGAGTGGCCTGTCATCAGGTATTGCAAACTCGGCTGGCTTGCAAACGATTGGCTTGGATGACCGGTTGACAGTAGTTTGCATCAAGCTGAATCCATCAGCAATCTGATCTGTATATATGTCAAGGTCCAAACTCGAAATCAAAATGAGCAGCGACGTGCCAGTTTGGATGATCAAAGTGTCATCAGGGAAATAAGTCTGTCCATTCAGCTGTATGACTGTGGGTCGATGTGCATGAGCTTCAGGTACGGCCAATCTCAAAATGTCACGTCCAGCAACCCGACCTGGGAAGAGGTGAGCAAATTGCTGTCTGGGCAGTCTTAAACCATCTACTCCTTGCACTGAAATCAAAACTGCGTATGAATCACTTGGCAACCCTTGAGTCACAATGACATGTGGTGAAAGTGTGTCAGAGCGTGATGAAGGCATCAGCTGGGGGAGCGCAATCAAGTCAGCAGGTGAACCTCTAATGAGCCTGTCCCTCCAAACAAAGATGCAGTCAGTTCTCCACATAAACGACTCATTTGTAATGCGCGCTGTCCTGGGATGACCACAATGGTAATCAGTCTCATGATTGATATACCAAGTGATAACCTCCATGGTCGGTGGTTCATCAAATGACTGTCTAGAGGAGCCTGTCTGAAAGTGCCTTTCCAATATCGGGATCCATGGTGGACGGGCATCAATAGGAAACTCAGGTGCTGGTACACTGCCACTTGCCTGTGCAGGGATCTCCCCACGTGCTACAAAAGCTGGGTCCGGTGGACGATCATAGATTTCACTATGGATAGCCCGCTGTAACACCTGGCGAAGCTCATGGTTCTCCATGACCAATAATTGCGGAACGTCCAGAAAGATCCCTCGGCTGACAATCAAACGAAAAGCACTACCTGCTTGAACATTCACCTCATGCGTGCTAATTGGGATACTACCAAACCAGAAGCTGCAAAGATTTCGGATGTTCACAGGTGGGCAATCTGTTTGCAAATGCAATGTTTCAATCATTCTAAGGAGATTAATGCGTTGCCTCAACACTATTGCAAGGGTGTAAGGATTTCGTTCAGCTTCATCATCTGAATCATAAATCGAGACCACAGCGGAGCGCTGATCAGGTGATTCATTTTCCGTAATAATGAGCTGTGCAAGAATACCTGTTGCACAATCCTCCGGCAAGGGATCAACAACGGCAAACTGCAGGTCATTCATGTTACCAACCTTGTCACTCCATGTAGCAGCAAGCTGTTCTCTCCATCGAATAAAGTCAGAATTCAACAAGGTAATCCGTGAGGAGTGGCACCTGTGCAAATTCGCATGATTAAGAAACCAGCTTTCAATTCGAACCATCTCATGCAATTGCGCAATATCTGATTCTAAGTGCTCATTGAAACTCGTCCAAAGACGTTGGAATGCTTGTGGCTGAGCATCAATAGACAGGGGGTCCAGCGGTGGTGGAGGTTCATCCTGTGCATTACTTGCCGCAGCAACCGCTTGAAGAAATTCATCAGTCAAACTTGCACAGGGCTTCGCCAAACTAGGTGTATCATCAGTCAGAGCCGGAGGTGCACTGCTTTCCAAAGGACAAGCTTTGCTCTGCAGGAGACTGTGGTGATCCTGAGTCTCTTCTGATATTGTCACATCCTCTGGCTTGATGGTCACCTGAATGCCAAGCCCATGTTTTGTTCGAAAAATCTGAGAATCCGATGTCAGCGCGGGATAATCCCACACTATTTCATTGAGGGAGAATGAGGCCAGAAGTGGCACAACGCGCATCAAATCTGTGGGAGTGCAGAGTTTCGGTGCCACAACTGCTACTCTTGAAATGACGCTTGGCTCATTGACACCAGGGAAGTCCATGGACAAAAGGATTGAGGAACTAGCATCGGGTCTCTGCGTAAGGATGACGTGGGCAATATGCTCCTCAATGCCTAATCGTTGTGTAAATGGCGTGACAAGGTCAATCAGGACAGCATCATCAGGCCGCACATACGATTTCCATGGATAGATTAGGTCCTCTTTCCATTCACTTGGGTCTCCTCCTAAAACAGCGATCTTTGGGTTACGACACAGGGTGTGACCACCATGGTCAAGGAACCACGTGTAGACTGAGAAGAGGAATTCAGCCTCTGCAGCTGCTTGACACTGCACTCGTTGTCTGTCAACTAGCCTTTGCAGATCCATGAACCAATCTTCTGGCAGACTGTCACTTGAATCAGAGCTTGTTTGAACATCATTCGGCTCAGGGGCTGTTGATCGTTGCTGCATGAGTTGGAGCACATCATGCTCTCCATGTTCAGGGAGTGCTGTTAGCTCAAATGGGACCTGTTCACTCACACGCATGGCATCCTGTGGTTTAGGCAGACGCGATGGCTTGTCAAAGTGAATTTGGTGCGATGTTTGCATGGCAAAGAGGTGGTCCACATCCATGAGATTCGGCGTTGCAAGTGCATGGATTTCATCCTCCCCCAAAAGGCTAGGTGAATGCCCTGAGATAACATCGTCATTATGAATCAGATCGACAATTTCATCATCTGTCATACCATCCTGTCTCAACTGGATCAGGTCAGCAGTTGGGCAGGCAAACCCATCAGATGGTGGTACCACAACTCGTGCATGGTCTGCATGAGAGATAACTCTTGTGGCTAGATCATAATCCGGCCATCTACGTGTATTGATGAATGCAAGGCAGCGACCGTTCTCACTGGAACAGTAACGATCAACATAGGCAGCTCTCAGCAACCCTTGCCTACTGACTCGCGTGGGAACAACAATGACACTTCTTGTGACTTCAGGTCCAGCCTGAAAATGGTCCTCCACTCTGTTTCCATGGATTTCCAAATCAAGCAATACCAATTTCGACATGTGATAAGGAGGGAAACCATCCAGCAAATGAACCACAATGGGAACAATGTTGGCATCCACATCAGGCAATGGGGAAACAACCTCGTAAGCTTCAATCAATCTGTCTCGCTCCACAGCATAATGATGGGCAATCTCCGTCATCATTTCTTCATACCCATCCCAATTAAGGAAAGTACGTATTGGTTGATCCCTCAGATGGTAAAGGATAACCTCCTGCCTAAAAGGGGGAATATCCTGTTGTGACTCAGTAACCTCATCAACTGGATCATCAGCGGAGGAACTATCAGAGTCTGGTGTTTCAGCATTCCCAGTAGGCATGTCATCGACGGGTACTTGTTGGGTATGACCTTGGTGAAAAGCGTTCATCAATCCGGCTTCACCATCATTGTAGGGTGATTGCTTGCAAGTCATAGGTGCTGGCGGGCACAACTGCATAAAGCTGGTTGAATCTTTCTCCTCCATAAAATTTAAATGTTCCGACTGGACATCACAAAGTGCAACCCGGTTCAACACTGTCAAGTCATGCAATGGCTCCTGGGTGGCAGTTTGCAAGGGATGATCAGTACGGATACAAGAATTTGTCTTGGTTCTGATTCGTTTTCTACTCCAAGGTTTCAAATTCCAGTTGCGGATAACACTTTGTGGCACATGAAGACAGCTCATCTCAAGAACTTCGTCGTCACCAATATATACATCAATATGATCCTCAAACCTGACATGCTTCTGTACTGCACATCGTGTAAGGGGTCTCTGAGATGACAAAGATGGACGAAAAACTGAACTCAAGACAGATGCAAATCGTTCAGGGCACAATGGGTATTGACAAAATTCATGGCAAACATCCCATTGCAAATCAAGTGCATTCAAACTGGCTTGGAAGGGGCTGACATATCGAGTCTCATTCAAAATTGTGTGCGTGAGTGGCAAAATTCGAACTGAGAATTCGTCCCAACAATCGCATGCTGCACCAGTGAGCATAGAATCAAACTGATAGGCATCAGCGATTGAGGCTCTGGACTGTGCTAAGGCCTCATGCAAAGAATTCTTCTGAACTTCCAATGCACGGCCTCCATTCACTTCTTGGCTGAAGAGGGAAAGGGCTCCAATGATCGCGGCCTTTTGGAACGCTTGTCGCCCTCCTCTGCCTCTTCGTCCTCCTTGATTTCGATAGGTTTCTGTGGGGTCATGTCCAGACCGAGGGAACTGGCGCAGCTCTGCAGTACTCCTTGTAACTGCTTGCGTAGCACTTCCTCTTCTCGATCTGCCTGATCCTCCGTCGCATCCTCTGGTTCGGTGTGCGTCTGTGGCAAAGGCGGTGCAGCTTCTCCTGCAGCTGTACTGCTCAGCTGATGAATAATCCTGCTCGTCGCAGAAATTTCTGCTGATGCTTTGCCTGCTTGTTCTGTCAACATCGCCTGATGTCGGCGAAACTCCTCTAATTGTTTCTCCCAGAGCTTGATGCCATTGGAGAGATGTGCCATCCAGAGAGCACGATGAGATCTCCTTTGCTCTGTGACCTCGCCCAAATGTTTCTTCACTTTGCCTAGGTACTTCGTAGCCTGGTGCAGGTTTTTGATCCCCATGCGGCCCGACTCTTGCTCCGCTTTCTCCAAGAACAACTTCGTGTCCTCGGGCATGGATGTTGGATCCGGGTACGCCTTTTTGAGGTGTTCGACCCATTCCTGCTTGTCGCTGGCTGTACTCATCGGCATCTGTGTAGCAAATGGGCTGGTTGGCAAGGTTGTGGAGGGTGTGAACCGGGATGTATCCATGGTTGTCCAAGGTGCAAATCCATCTCCCTGCTGGAATGGCGAGACTTGATCGGATTGTCCACCTTGATTTGGAGCCTTTCCCTTTTTCCCCTTCACTTTGCCTTTTCCTTTTCCTTTCTTGATAGGCTTCTGCTGACTGGATTGGGCATTCGGATATCCATCTTGACGATGTCTTGTGGCAGATCTGCTCGAGGATCGACTTGATGCCCAGCTTGCATCTTCGTCCCATTCCTCCCATTTGTATGCATCCCATTCTTGCGTCTCCTTGATCTTGGGACGCGTTGGGTGACGGGAGCCTTCTGTCCAAGATGCCCAACACACTGCACATTCTAGGGCATACTTCTTGTTGATCCGCCCACACTTGCACCTCCATGGGTAGTAAGTGTCGTTGGGGTCCTGCTCTTCCATGTTCATTGCTCTTGTAATTCGGGAAATGAAAGAATTGTCTCTGCTGTGATGTGAGCGTAAAACTTTCTGAATCCTCAAAAGGGCTGGTCTGCTCAATGAGATCCAACCACTCTTGTGTAAAAACCAACTGCGCCTTGCCTTCGCTCGATTCCTGCGCGCCTTCCGGCGTAAGGTACTTCTGAGTGGCGAAATCCTTAATGTGGGTAAAAAGGATCACAAATCCCAGAAAAACGTGGAGGAAGCTGCACATAAAAGAGCCTTTGACAAGCTTGAAGGTAATGTCCCGATGATACGCTCACCGGCAGAAGCGGGAAGTGAATAACCAAATCTGAGAACTGAGAGGAAAAATACCAGGGCAAGCCAATACAGCAAAATCCAAGTCAGTCCAAAGAATTGCGAAATGTAAATTGTAAGTAAGACCAAGTGCCAGAGGTCAAAGACAGCTAAGGCACAATGTAAAATGAAATGTGAAGGTCAAAAATTGCACCACAGGTCCAGTGACACAGAGGCGCAAGTGAATTGAAATTGCACAAATACCCACCAAATATCAATAAGAGGATGTAGGCCCAGTTAAAGGCAGCTACAGGCTCAAAATGCAGGGTTTTACACAGGATCCCTGAACCTAGGCTCCGAAAACGCCGAAAGGAGCCCGCGGGTGAAGAGCAATACCCGCTAAGGTAATGGCTCGCCCAAACCCTCAAACCGAACGGAAGCGAGGGGGGGCTTGAACCAGAACCTTATCCCATTACGTTAATAAAAAATTATTATAGTTAATAATGATAACTATTATTAGTTATCCCATTGGCAATTTCCCGTTACGTCTTTTTGTTTCCCCTTCGCAAGCGATCCGACCGTTCCGCGCCTTCTCCAAGACGCTCTGGACGAAGCTGTCGGACTTCACCAAGCTCGTCGCCAACCAATTCACCACCTGAGCGCAGGTCCGCCATCTAAAGCCATGATACTTGAATCATAGAGTGGGCATAACACACACACACATATATATATATATACACATAGAAATTAGATACAGATATAGATATTAGATATTAGATATAGATATATCGTGAACTTAAACGCATGAACATATCAAAATACCGTAACCATGTGGAAATGGGGATGGATGGATATCTATATACATATATGATCATATATGGACATGTCATCACATGTCATAAAAATCAACAGGACAAGGACAGCGTCGATGAGCCAAGTCAGGATTTGGTAATGAGGTCGATCATATCTGACTTGAAAATCGAAAGACATCGCCGGCGTTGCAGCAAGTGCCAGCGACATATGGTAATTTACCCTCTGGTAGTCATTTACAGTTTACAATGTAAAATCAATATGTTTACCTTACTGGTGCTTAGCAGGGAATGAGGGAATGATCCAAAATCACTAGTAATAATCATCCCATTCCCCCATTCCCCCATTCCCATCCATTCCCTACTAAGCACCAGTAAGTTACGATAGGAAAAACAAGCAGCCCCATATTTATGAACAGATCCAATCCTAACCTGTTTCAAAGGGGGCATTGAATATTAGGGGGGACTGAAAACGAAATGGAAAAATCTCCCAAAATATGCAGGATAGGAACAAATGGGGAAATGATGAAATATATACGTAAATAATCGTAAATAGCCAAAATTTGGAAACCTACAGGAAAACTCCCCAAGTTTTATGGTTGATTGAGCGGATTCGCTGCTCACGGATGACAGCACAGGAAACACCAAAAAGATAGAAACACAATTTAAAATTGTTAGTGAGATTGGACGTGCCCACTTGTTTACAGTTACTATAGGAAATGATTAAAAAGGGTGCAAATAAAAGAGGCAAACGAAATAGAATAGAAACTCCAATATTTGGTTAGTTCTTCTCCCACACACACACATACTGTATATATATATATGTGATTATATGTGTGTGTGTGTGTGTCCGCATATGTTGTTGCTAGTACCCTCCGTTAGTCAAACCTGGCACTGAAAAATAAATGTAGATGATTTTCCGGTAAAAGCTCCATTGAGTGCGGGGATCTCCTCGCCATGTTTGCTTCCTGAAGATTTTCATTCCATGACTATCCTATCATTATAACCCATTCAATGAATATCGAAACGCCAGAAGTTTGTTAATTATTTACCATATATGTTATGCATATATCATATATCCTATACACATATCCTACTGGTAAACTAACATAGCTATGATCTGGAAACCATCACTCTTAAAAGGTAAATCATCCCATTGTCAATAGCTATCTTAGTTTACTGGGCATATTCCATTCATCACCATTCCTTTCACATATTTTGACCATAAATTGACAATTAACCAAATTAATAACCAATATTAACCATTATTAACCATAAATTGACCATTATATAACCATCATTAACCATCATAAGACATCATTAACATTCATTAACCATTATGAACCATCATTTTGGTCAATGTTAACCATTATTAACCATTATATAACCATTATTGCCCTCTGGTAATTTAACATAGCTATTGAAAATGGCCATAGAAATAGTGGATTTATCCATTGAAAATGGTGGATCTGTCCATCGTTTTTTGTAGGTTTACCAGAGGGTAACCGGGATATATCTATCATTAACCATCATAAAACATCATTAACATTCATTAACCATTATTAAGGGTTATTAATTAACCATCATTATGGTCAATGTTAACCATCATTAACCATTACCATCTGGCTATGACTAACATAGCCATGGAAAATCCACCCATTTTTAATAGGTAAACAATCTATTTCTATGGGCCATCTATACCATGGCGAACTGTTAAATAACCAGAGGGTATATAACCATCATTAACCATCATAAAACATCATTAACATTCATCAACCGTGATTAATCATCATTTTGGTCAATGTTAACCATCATTAACCATGATATAACCATTATTACCCTCTGGTAATTTAACATAGCTATTAAAAATGGCCATAGAAATAGTGGAATTATCCATTGAAAATGGTGGATGTTAACCATCATTAACCATGATATATTATTACCCTCTGGTAATTTAACATAGCTATTGAAAATGGCCCAGTCGAAATGGTGGAATTATCCATTGAAAATGGTGGATGTTAACCATCATTAACCATGATATATTATTACCCTCTGGTAATTTAACATAGCTATTGAAAATGTCCCAGTCGAAATAGTGGAATTATCCATTGAAAATGGTGGATGTTAACCATCATTAACCATGATATAACCACTATTACCCTCTGGTAATTTAACATAGCTACGGTAACTACAGTTAAATATACGGACTTTTAAACATACGAACAGGTATTTAAGACTACCTCTGGGAAAGTTTTTCTTGGCCCGCCCGGCCATTTAAACATACGGAATCCAAGTCATTTAAACATACCGTGACTACATTTAAATATACGAACTGGTATTTCATACTACCTCCGTGGCCTCGCGGTCTGGCCCGCCCTCCACATATTTAAATGTCGTTGCCGTATTGAAAATGGCCATAGAAATAGTGGATTTATCCATTGAAAATGGTGGATCTTAACCATCGTTTTTCGTAGGTTTATCAGAGGGTAACCGGGATATATCTATCATTAACCATCATAAAACATCATTAACATTCATTAACCATGATATAACCATGATATAGCCATGATATAACTATGATATAACCGGGATATTCTGGCCATCCCTGAGATCTGAGAGATCTGAGTTATCCCGGACCGTAAGAAGGTTGATGACCAGGAAGAAGATGTCCAGAATGGCCGCCACGCGCGCCACCAACACCTGGGTAACGGGAGAGACTTTGGGAGCACCTGGGGGTTTCATATTTCAATGGATTTGAATGAACCAGCATGATTTGAATGTATAATCCAACAGAAATAACCAGTTATGACTAATAAACGGACCATTTTTCTATAGATATTTCAATGGATTGGTTGGAAAAATTTAACCGGAAAGCCCCATATTTCATGGGAAAATCGATGGTTTCCGGTTCAGATTTTCCCTTAAACCAATCCATTGATAATATGGTTTGATATGAATCAACGTGGGGTAATGTGGGTTAATATGAATTAATATAAGTTACTGTGGGCTAATGAGGTCAATATATGTGGGGTAATGGGGTATATAATACCTTGACGATCATCTCAATTAACTTACTTCAGCTCGGAAAAAGGTGCAGATCTGTCCAAGAAACATGGAGATTTTTCCCATGGAATGGGATACTGTTGATAAAGTTGATATCATTTACTGAGATTTGAGGTGATATTAATAATGGGCTAGTCACAAAGATTTTAGGTATATATCAGTTTTATTGGAACGCTGCAAGCCCTTGGGAGTTTAGTATGGGACACACCAACTACAGTGGGATATACCAAGAACCATCTTGGGAGAGTATAGGAGGTTTAGAGTATAGGAGGTTTAGTCCAAGATGGAATGAGATATGATTTATTGCTTCGGGGATTTATTGGACGGTCACAACCATCTTGGGGCGATGCGTGGGGATAGAAAGGTGGGAGGTGGGGGAACAGCTCTTAATCCCCAAAAAATATCATACTTATTTTAATATATTTTAATGGCGGCCATCATGGGCTACGTACTGCAAATCAACCTTCTTAGAAATCAAGATCAACCATCAAGATATCATTGCCCATCCCCTGATACTAAGTACCCCACATGTGGGACCCAAAGAAACAAATAAAATACTAAAGTTGGGGTTCAAGCGAGGTCTGAATGTCGGGGGAGGGGGATTATAGTTCCAAAAGAATCGAAGGTGGTAGGATGTGCTATGCGTAAAGGAGGGTCAGAGTCAACATGATGAAAATTTCGATTATAAAGTCGGTACACAGTATTGAACTAGAATTGAGCCAATGTAATGCCCACTCCCGGATGAATATGAATAAACGCATATAAACGCTGGTTGATTAGGGGTACCACCAAGACAGCGAAAAATCTGGATGAATCCACGGTACTGAAATGGGAGCCCCCTCATGATCAACAGCCAGCTTAGCAAAATCTGGGCCAATCACCAGCTGTACAACTCATCGGATCCAACCGGGGCCAACTCTCTTGGCTTCATTAAGAAACAGAGTTTCCCAGTGAGTGGTTGCCTCACTGAAGATAAGCTGGTCATTGTGGATGGTCCCCAAGAAAAGGGGAAATAAATGGAAGTAAGACACCAGCACACCAAGCAGTCTTGCACTTAAGCCTTCAAATGTCAGAGATGAAGTCATGCTCAAGTCTTGTTCCATGCAACTTCTCCCCTTCCAGCCCTTCATGGTGTCGCAGCCCACCATGACTTCTTAACCTCAGAAAGGGCAAAGTGGCAAGGCAAAGATATGTCTTCTTCTGACGCAGGGTTTTTCAGCAAAAACACGAGTCAAACGTGATCCTGATCCGGGTAGGATTCAAAGCAAATAGACATCGAACACACAGCATTTCCAACCACTATCCAGTCTTCCTACATGCTCCTTGCGTGCCTTACATCTCCTTGCTCTTCCTTCCACCAAAAAGGACGCAAAAGCATGCAAAAGCAACAAAACCTTTTCACAGAGACAGCACGAAATCATAGTCGACGGATGTCGATGAGATCACTTCTAGCTCTGCTGATTCTGCTGGAACAGTTTGACAGTTTGACTCGCTGGCAAGGCGACTCTTCTGTGCTGAATCGCCAAGCTCAACTAGCCACTGAAACTGTGCAAATCAAACCGCTCAGTGCTAAAAGGGTGCATTTGGGACTGTGATTATCACAATCCTTGCTACCTCCGAAAGTTGGGAGACCCCTGGGACCCCTTAGTTTCTGCAGTCAAAGGAGCCACGTTTGGGGGGCACCCCGGTGTCCGGACATAGTCGTCTTGCAAATGAATTAAGTTGGACGGAGTCATAACCAACAAAAATTCTCTGATGATGGTTTTGAACCTCATCAGAAACTTCAAGCAACTTTGCACAGTTGCAGGACTTGCCCCAGCCCTGTTACATCATCCAGAAGCGTCGACAGCGGTTCATCTTCATGCCAAGCCTCAACAGTATTGTCACGTTCATTGGACTGCAGAAAGTGTCTGAATCTCAAAAAGCTGATCTCCAGCGGATTACGTCCAAACCTTGGAGGTCGCAAAGGTTTCAAGACCAACTCATGGCGTTGAATGAGCCCGGCAAAATGCTGCTGCCACAGTTGGTCAAGGACATCCCCAATGGTGACTTCGCTCAACTCTGGTTGTTGCGCGCCTTGGATTTGCGTAATAAGGAACCGCCCAAAGATCAGAAACAGATTCCCTATAGAATCCTATACCCCCTGGTAAACTAACAGTTTGCTATTGAAAATTGTGATTTTTTTGTTGATTTACCCATTTAAAATGGTGATTTTCCATGGTTTTTTGTATATATGTTTACCAGAGGGTACCCTAAATACTGGATTTTTCCATTGGGAAAATAAACCATCACCTTAAACACGCCTAGGGCACTCACCGGAATGCGAAGGTCATAGTTGCGAGGGTACCGGTACCGCAAGGTGTGCGGAGTGGTCGTCCTGTCGATATTGGGACCTCCATAGTCTCCTTCAAAGGGGACGGGTCAAAACATGTCAACAACCATTCAAAACCTGTGATGGGTAAATTTATATTTCACTAACCTGAATTAAGGCCATTTGGGGATGATTTCCTTTATTAACCATGATTCCCAGTGAGGTCGCAGTGAGGTCGTTATAATTTCCCCAGAAACATGTCAACAACCATTCAAAACCTGTGATATCCTCTGGAATTTTTCACGGGGCTGGCTGGAACATACCCTGTTCATGGTGGTTTTAATGGATTTTAAAACTTCCTCTGTTGATGGGAGATTGTCCATTGCCACATTTGATTACCGGAAGGTACCACATTTGTGCGGATGAAGATTCAGTACCATTTTTTTTTGGTGCGAAGAAATGGTGTTGGTCCAGTGAACCGTGGATTAACAAACCCCGGTTGGTTGAAGAGGGGTTTGTACCCTCAAATAGTGATAATCTGCATTGAAGAAATGGCATCAATGAACCATCCCAAAGGGTAGTCCGCTGTCCACGTTAGCCATGACTATGTCTCCTCCATCAATAATGCGAAGTGGAAAGCCCAGTGTCGACCACAGGCGATCCTTCACCATGCTTTCAAGTTCGAAGATTCCGCTGGCATTGTAGTCCCTGTCACGGTTTCAGGGCTCAAAAGCAAGGCCAAAAATTAAATCATGCTATTCTAGTAGAAGGGTTCAAATATTTAGCCTCGATATGCCTTGATCTCAAACAATGAATGAAACATGACTAACACGATTTAACCCACCTGAACCCTTGCCTGTACATGCCACCTTTCAAGACTTTGCGCCATTCCTCATCGGTGAAGCGAAGAGGGGAAGGGAGTGCTTTGCAGTAGAGCGACTCACAAAATGCCTGGTCCAGAAGACAGTTGATTCCGTTTGGACAGTGCCATCCATGATGAAGCGCCAACTGCTGAATGGCACAAGTTCGCTCGAGACTTGTAAGATCTCTTCCCTCGAGGTTCGTCTGCGCGGCTGTTTCGGTCATTCGGGAGCAAGGAGCAAGGGATGATGAAAACAAATCGGTCAAATGCCTTCTTGAGCCCAACCAGTTCTGTGGAAACTAGCTTTTTTTTAGCACAAAATGTCTAAGGAAAACAGATGCAACACTGCAGAGAGACTGTTTTCTTCCACCATGGTTGTTACATGTTTGCCCATCAATCCTCAACACCAAGACTGGAGATCGTCAACCCCCCAAAAGGGGACGGTTATTGTCTCACATTGGGGTCCCAAAAACACTTCAGAAGCGTAGAGAATCACACAACTTATTCAGTCATCAGCTTAAACAAAACACGCCCAGCGGCCACAAATATCTACAAATATCTTGTAACACATCTTCAACCGAATTCTGTCAAAGTGGATCAGCAAACTCAAAGTGCTGACAAACTATGCAGAAAATATCACCCGACATCCATGTTTGGTAATTCACCTGCAGTACAAAATCGAACATTTCCACTGTACCAGTATCCTCATGTTTTTCCCAAGATTGTCCCATGATTTTCCCATATTTTCCCTATGAAATTGGCCATTTTGGGCATATCTTCTGCCAGGAACACTCTGAGTCTCCCAGCGTCAACTCGATGATGTTCGATCGGAGGCCACGGTTGCGGTTGGGCTGTTGGGTGACCCATGGACAGTTCAAGCGGGTTTTTTTTGGACCATCCATGTTGGAGGGAAATGCCCTACTAGATGCAACAAAAAATGTAGTTATATATATATATATATGTGTGTGTGTGTGTTATATGTAGGTATCATATTATACCCTCTGGTAATTTGACATAGCTTTACAAATGTCCCATTTATGGTTGATTTACCAACTAAAGATGGTGATGTTCCATAGCAAACTGTTAGTTTACCGGAGGGTATTAATATATATAATTATATACATATATATATATATACATATGGTTGGAGGCTGTTGGTGGTTTCAACCCCACCGGCGTAGAACAGCATTTTTTTGATGATTACCTCCTGCAAACGTTTTCAGTTCGATGTGGACGTGTCCCACCATTTATGTAGATCCTTTTCCGACATGGAAACCATTGGTGTTCCACATCTTTGTTCATTTACTAGGGGAATTCTCCAATAATCCGTACTTAATATCTGTAATATCCAATAGTTATCCAATAATAAATATCCAATTATTACTTATCAATCATCCCTATATTTTGATGTACTGCCCTATGGTTGTTTAACATAGCTATGGAAGATTACCGTGTTGAATAGTAAAATCATCATAAATCCATATAAATCCCCTATTTTCATGGGCCATTGAACTACCATAGCTATGTAATAAATAACCAGAAGGTGCCCATCATTTCTGGTGGCAACTCCCTATATTAAACAAATTGGTAAATCTTCAATATTAAGGGTAATTCAACCCTATCGTGCTTGAGCTATAGTAACCAATTACGAATTGGTAAATTCATGGTAATTTTACATTACCAATATTATAATATTGGTAAATTGTCATATTACTGATTGGTATATCTTCAATAATTAATTATATGATACTTGAATCCCTGTCATATAGTTACCCCTATAGATAATAGTAATTGCTAATATAGCAACTACTTAATTGCTATCATTAAGCATCAGCAACCATCATTAACCATCACTAAGCATTAATGGTTACTAACCATAGTTATTACCAATATAGATAGTCATCAATCTGGGTAAATTATAATAATTCACCAACCTGAATTAAGGCCACCAACTTCTTGCGGTCCCTGAAATTAAGGCCATTTGGGGATGATTCCCCTTACTAGCTATGATTTCCAGTGAGGTCGCAGTGAGGTCGTTATAATTTACCCAGATCAATTACTAATTGTTAGATCCATATATTTTGAGTGTCCGCGCACTGGCCCATGCTCCACAAAAGTTGGGACCTGATGGGAAAATCCATGGGACGTCTCCATGGGATGGAGGCTTAGAAGCTCGGAAGATCATAGGAAAATCATGGGAACATCTAGGGAAAATCATCCATACCCTCTGATTATGTCAAAATAGCTATTGAAAATGGCCCAGTCGAAATAGTGGATTTACCCATTGAAAATAGTGATTTTCCATAGTTATGTTAGTTTACCAGAGGGTAAATATGGATGATTTTCCCTGGCCAGGTCTAATCCATGCTCGAAGTGCAATCGATGTTTTCCATTCAAAAAGGAGAATCCCCACTGCCTACATAGTTGGATTCCAGAGGGGAAGCCTATTTCCTGCTGCCCAAATAGGGTTGACATCAAGTTGACATCCCGCTTTTAGAAATCAATCTCCCAATTTTGTTTGTGATAGCCTGTTCCCATATCGTCTATGTATGGCTTAGCTATGGGGGTGAATTATTGAGAGTATCGCCTAATTCCAGGACGGTCACCTCAGTTCCGGGGCGGATATGTGGCGTAGCTCAGATTGAAGTGGTGTTTATCTACTGCTTATCTGGGTCATTGTTTTGCCGGGGCTTCCAACGGTTTGCCCCCACATCAGGGTGATACAGTGGTGAATTGACTTGAATTAACCACTAACTGAGTATATCCATGTGTATACCCCGGTTTTTTGCAGAGAAGAAAAACATGCTTGGCATATTAGTTCAATTTGTTCTTGATCGAAATCGTATTCTTTAGTAGGGAAATCATGTTTTCTCATGATTGAATTCACAAACCCATTTTCTTTTACATCTGTTCCTGGTACTGTAAATCCACATATTGTTCCAATAATTGTGACATCTTATGTTTTCACCAGGTAA